ACCAAGTGCACCATTTAACCTCTTTAGAGCATGAGTACCAGCATAAAATACTAGTTTAACGGAAAAACCATGGGTTCACGTGCTCCATACATATATTTACTTATAAATCCGCCCCTGCTTTTGAGTATGGTTTCTTTTGTCTCCGTTCTAATTTTGGATTTAAATTATAAACACTGATACAAAAATGAAATGGAATGCTATAATTTTACATAGCAGATTATTATTGTATTTTTCAAATCAATATATTATATTAATATGAAAATTTTACTTGCTATTGTATGACAAACTAACCTGATGATGAAAACATTAAACTTATAAACGACAACTGCTGCTCTATATTATAATTTTTTAAAATTTTGGGACAAACAAATGATTTTAAATGGAGTACTTGCTTGCACGAGCAAAAGCAGCAAATATGAAGATAATATTATTTTTCCTTATCTACTAATTTCATCCATTTAGTTAGGGTATGGCCAAGTGGAGTTGTTTCTGTTTTATATGTGTGCTTTCATTACCAATACAAATATTTTTTCGCCATCACGCTTCGTGGTCAATAAACAAAATGGGCGACTGATGGAGATGTATTTCAATGGGAAAGAAAAAGACAGACAAAAGAAATTTATTTAGACATCATGAAGTAGTCAAATAAATGGGTTTGGAATTGCAGCATAATCCTTGTAAGTTTATTCGACGCCAAATGTGCTAAGTTTTCTATTTAACTTGATAGACGTTGCAAGAAATGACTCAAATTTATGTATATTATGAGTGACTATAATAAAATTGAAAGCTTATGGTATGTTTGGTACGAAGGAAATGTTTATCATGAAAAATATTTTTCTAGAAAACGAGTGATTTTATCACTTATTTTTACTTGTTTGGTTGGTCAATGAAACTTTTTCTGGAAAATACTTTCTAGTGTTTGGTTAGATATTAGAAAATATCTTTTAGGAAAATAATTTTTTGTGCTATTCTCCTCACCCTCTTCCACCAAATAACCATGTTTTCTGTGCTCCCCCCCTTCCCTCAAATACCCTACATTTTCAAGACTCTATTTTCTTCGAGAATTTAATTATTCTTTAAAAGATGCACACAAACCCAAAAGTAACTAATATACTGTTTTACTTGATTTTTTATGCAAAAACAACATTGAATTTGTGCCCATAACTAAAAAGAAAATACTCCTTTTTTGGTTGAAAAAGATAGTACTCTTTCTACAACATGAAAAGAAAATACTCATTTTTTGAAATAAATAAATAATTTTTACTACATCAATTTGTTGAAATGAAAGAAAATATTTTTTCTACATCATAAAAAAACATACTCATTTTGTTGAAATGAAAAAGAAAATACTCTATCTTCAACATGAAAAGAAAGTAATCGTAATAATATTTCTATTTAGGGTGGGGGTGGGGGTGGGGGTCGGGGTAGGGTTTGGGGTGAGGGGTGAGATGGGAGTGGGGTGGGGTGGAGGGTGTTGGTGGTGATGGGAACAAGGGTGGTGAAAGTTGAAAAAGAGTTTTGGAAAAAGTTTTTCCTTCTCTTGACATGGAAAATATTTTCCTCCAATTAGAGAAAAATGAGTTCATGAGAAAAATATTTTTCAATACATTTAAGCCAAACAAACATGAGATTAGAAAATATTTTTCGAAAAATATTTTCCTTCGTCCGAACACACTCGTAATTTATCTTAGTATTGGATATTTAAATAAGAACATCTCTGATGAGTAATGAGTTAAGTAGATATATTTGTAACGTGTGCTTTTAATAGATAGATGAGATCACGATGCCTCCCAAGAAGTTGGCTATAGAATATGAGATCATATGGATCAAGTGATCAACAAAAAAACATATATAGAATTTTAATTGTTATTCTTTATTCTTTGAGGCAATCCACTAATATTGTACCATGGTCGCCTTAATTAACTCCTTTTTAGGCAAGAAGATAACTACTCGATAGAGACAGAGCAAATTGATCCGACATTTGTAATTGATTTATTAAATTATACTACATAACTTAGCAAAAATGAGATAAAACTGGTACAACACTTGAACACTCGTTCCTCAAATCTCCAAAATTGTGAATCCGTAGATGAATTCAGGATACATGTTTCGGCTTCGAACATTTCATTGGTTGGTTATCAAGTTAGAAGCCAAAAAGCCTTTTCCAATTTGACTAGATTTCACAATTTTCTTTGTATCTGGTCAAACATTAATGCAAAGCTATGGAGTATTAGTTTGTGTATTCAGTTAGGCCCATTGATGGGACAAGGACATATGAGTACCGCCCAATGATCTATCCACTCATGACAGAGAGGCCCATCCACCCATGAGAAATTTTATACTACTATTGTAAGTTGTAGTGCGGGACCCATAACTTTTATATTATCATTTTTTTTACTTTCTCTTCTCTCCTCTTTGGAATCCTCTGGCTTTCTTCCTTATTTTCATTTCACAAGAATTCTCTGCCTCCCACCCCAGATTCTCCTCATATTTTTCGTAATTCTCTTCCTCCTACTAGACCCTCTTTTCATTTCTACCACTTCAAACTGATCTTTTTCCTGTTCAGTTTTCTCTCAGGTCCTTTTCTCATTATTAGTTTCCTCTCAATCCTTACTATTATGTTTTCCGAGAATAGTTCAAAAATAAAAAATCTTCATCTTTGGTGTTGGAAACAATCCAGCAATTATACAATAAAGTGATCACTTAAACTTTCAATTAGTTTAATTTAACTCTGGTTCTTTGGCTCTTGGGAACCGATCAAAACTATGTGCACCTCCACATATTCAAACTCTTCTTAAATGTGATTAAGATGCACTTTTCGTCAATAATTTTCAGTTCTTAAAAAGGATCTATAAGCAGTACTTAATCCACACCAATCAAATACACCAAATATTTTATGTTGCTCTTATGTATTGCCGAGATAAATTTAAGTGTAAAATTAAAAAAATTTAAAGACCCCTTTTGATTTCCCCCCCTGAAATAGTATGAACCCTGATAGAAAAAACAGTAGAAAAGAAAGAACCAAAAAAATAAATAAAGAAGGAATAGAGACAGAAATTCAGAGACGAAGAGAAAGAGCATTGAAAAGAAAAACAAATAAAGAAGGAACGAGGAAAAAGATAGCCTGGTATTTGGAAGAGGAGAGAGAGAGATTTGGCATCTTTTTATTTCTAGGCGTGTGGGACCCAGTATAATACACTTGTCAAGCTTAGAATATGGCCTCATACAACTATTCTTCCTTGAGTCTCACTCAAAATAAAACTTCTCATCCACCCATCTTTCTTATTGCATCATGCATGGCACGTCATGGGCCTAGATCCCAATTTGTATGATACGTTAACGTACATAGAAGATTAAGTTAGCGTTTGGACATAGATTTAATTAAAGCTAAAGAGAGAATTTTCGACGTTATGTTGAAAAATAATTTTTTAAGTCTGGACATGCATTTTATTTGGAAAAAATTAAAATTTTGTAAATAGAATAATTTTTTTACGGGAACTTATTATTTTTTCTTCAAATCTGATCATATTCCGTGAACAGATAAAATATTTTCAAAAAAATTTGCCAAAACTTATGATCAAAGGAGAACTAAGATAAAAGTAGTCTTTCATTCTAACGGCACATGTGTAAGTGTAACTTGCTCACATTGCTATAACGGCTTTTGAACAAATGAGAAATTTATAGTAAATTAATTTCAGAGTTATATTCTCATAATACAAAAGTTGCATACATAGACTATGTCACTACTGAAGTATGTTGATCTAAATACCTCCACATTGACTTATTAAGCATTAGAGAACAAGCTTCACTAGCTTAATACACGAATTCACCTTATAGTAAGCGATTGAATGTGTAATTATATTTTGCACCGTCAATACATAAAACTTAAACTCCTAACAACAAGTTTAGGAGAAAACTAGCTGAACGCATAGCCACTATAAGAGGCGTTAAGGCATTTGTCAATCACGTCAAATTGTTAGGAGTACAGACTAGAGAGTAGTCGAACTAAGAGGAAGGTTTTGGGCCTTTGTTCGTGCATCCTTCATCATTATATGCAGTAGTGGCTGTTTTCTTTCCGTCTCTTCGTTTGTCAGATTGGATTTGGTACACATGCAGATATATATTCACGTAGACACTCGCAGCTCAATTATTAGAGGAAAATAATGGGATCCATGATACCACATTTTCACTTTCTGAAAATTGATAGATGGATTTAAAGCATTGTCCTAAAACAAAAACAAAAAGAAGATTTGAAAGCATTGTCCCAATATAATTCAATAAATAGGAGTACTATACTATAATACAGAGTTAATTTGTATACAATTCGAACAGGCGTACTTTAAAATAATTATTTTCCTTTTTGACCATTGATATTCACATAAAAAATAAAAAAAAAACAATAAAGAATCACATAATAGGTGAAACATTTTCCAAGGGGATGAAGAATAAATAGAGGAAATGGTCATTGGACTTGGAGTAGTTGCATGTTTATTTTTTTTCTTTATAAAAGTTTGAGTCCTTTAGTTTATTTCATTTTATTTGATGCAAAAACACCTAAATACCCCAAAGAAAATGAAGATAACTACTACTCTGTCTGTCTCAAATTTTATTTTGTTACTATAATTATATATGAGAACTCGATTCATTTGTTTCTAATACGATTCCTTAAAAAAATTTAATCATAAGAAGAAGTAATATACATATCCTTACGACCTTAGAGTTTAAATTCTATTTTGCTGACAAGGTTAAAAATATTGACACAATCAGTTATTTATTAAGTAATTACATATAAATCTCTTGATAAATATTACTCCATCCGTCTCATAATATGTGTCGTGATTCCCTTGTGCACGCCTGTTAAGAAAGAATAGTTTTTACTATTTTACCCTTATTTTTTTTGGTAAGTAAACTATTTTATTTATCAATAGCAAATATGTACAAGTATGAAACAAACCATAACATCACTACTACTGCTACTTCCCTACATCCAGCTAGTACACTTAAGGATAGAAATTAAGAGAAACTAACTTCCTTTCTAGTTTTGGCTTCAGTGTCCCTTTACATGTTACCTCCTGAATAATCTGCTTAATGATCCCGTGCACTGATCTCTGTTTCTCCTGAAATATTCTAATGTTTCTTTCTTGCCATACATGATAGTTACACCCAGCAAGCACCATTATGTAAAGTTCCGCCTCTGCATTCCTTCCCGTCTTATTAATTTTCCCCCATAGCAGTTCCTCCTGCCAGTTCAACATTTGCCTGTATATACCTTGCCATTGCAGAAGTTTGCTCCATATCTCAGCAGACATGCCACATTTGAAAAATACGTGGTCTATAGCTTTTGCCTCATTGTTGCAAAGAGGGCACATTAGATTATCAGTAATTCTCCGGTTAGCAAGCCTGTCCCTTGTGAGTAGTCTTCTTTGAGCTGCCAGGGCCAAAATAAACAGCCACTTAGGAGCACCAAAGTTGTTGCAAACTACCCATATTAAATGTTTTCTCAATTTATGTGAATCTCCATCGATGACATTATCTATATTTTTACTAAATGTGAATGCAATTTATTTTGCTTTATAGGATATAAGAAGAGACTGTAGAAATTCGAATACAAATACAGAGCCAACGCAGCGAAAATTAATCGAGAAACGTACCTTCAGCTATAGTTGTTCAAGTGTGGTAGGAATCACCTTCGTAAAACGTTGGCAGAAAACCTATGAGCTTTCTAGCCTGTGCCTATCGAAGGATGTCAGACTGATGGAGTCACAGGCGTATTTATAGGTAGGCTAGGGACTCTTAGGCAAATACTTTAGCCCTAGGGACTTCTCCATAAATTATAATTACCCTAGGGACTCCTAATATATGGTAATTTCTTTCCATCAAAGAAACTACCATATATGCATAACTACAGAATATTATCTGATATATTATTTCCTTTGGGAGACAAAGTAAATAACTTATTACCTTATATGTGGGCCACACTAGAAGTCTCTAGAAGAGACGTTAATTTCTAACATTCTCCCACTTGGCCCACATATTAAAATCAGATAATCGTTTATGAGAGATAAACATATAATATGGCCATAAACTTTATCACTCAACTAAAAGTTATGCAACAATCACTTTAACTAGAATATATTATTACACGAATCATGCGGTCATGCTTTTAGACAAACACTTCCTTCCATGTATTACAATGCATAATATATTATAACAAAGTGTCTAACAACTTTATGAATGAACTTAATATAAGTCATTCAGAGTCCAACTTTATTGATCCAATGATCATAAAAATGAAAAACCAAAAGTGTGCACTGTCATGTATATTAAAATAAACATAATGTCTAGACAAACTGTTAGAGAGCAAAGCAAGACTAAATTGAGATACTAAGCCCCATATGGGATACATGATCCTTGAAAATATTAGCCGGCGGACCTTTAGTCATAGGATCAGCAATCATCAAAGTAGCACTAACATTCTCAAAATTCACATCTTGCTTCTTCACATAGTCTCTAACCATCAAGTACTTTATGTCGATGTGCTTGCTTCGGCTGCCACTTTTATTATTCTTAGAAAAGAAAACTGCAACTGAACTGTCACAAAAGATTCTCAATGGCCTTGAAATGGAATCGACAATCCTAAGACCGAAAATAAAGTTTTTCAACTATAACGCCTGTGATGTAGCTTCATAGCATGCTATAAATTCAGTTCCCATTGTGGATGTTGCAACAATGGTCTGCTTGACACTTCTCCAAGATACAGCACCTCCAGCAAGAAGAAAAATGTATCCTGAAGTAGATTTACCAGTGTCCTTGCATCCACCCAGATCAGAATCTAAATATCCAACCACCTCCAATGAGTCAGAGTATTTGTATGTGAGCTTAAAATCCTTGGTTCCTTGCAAATATCTCAAGACCCTTTTACCAGCTTTCCAATGGTCAAGACCATGGTTATTTTGATACTTGCCAAGCATTCCTACCGCAAAAGCAATATCAGGTCTAGTACAGACCTGTGCATACATGAGGCTCCCGCCAAGCGAAGCATAGGTAATGTCTTTCATTTGCTCCTTTTCCAACTCATTTGTGGACATTGATTCAACGAGAATTTGTCACCTTTAATTATGAGTGCTGCTATAGGTGAACAGTTCTTCATCCCGAATCTTTCCAAAATTCTTTCAATGTAGGCCTTTTGAGACAGTCCAAGTAATCTTTGCGATCTGTCTCTGTGAATCTCTATGCCAATGACATAAGAGGCTTCACCCATATCCTTCATCTCAAAATTCTGGATAAGGAACTGTTTAGTCTCGTGCAACAATCCCAAATTACTACTTGCAAGCAAAATATCATCCACATATATGACTAGAAAAATATATTTGCTCCCACTTATCTTAAGGTATATACACTGATCAATGATGTTCTTCGTAAATCCAAATGAAGAAACAACATTATGAAATTTAATATACCATTGGCGGGAAGCCTGCTTTAGCCCATAAATGGATTTATTCAACTTGCAAACAAGGTGACTTTTGTCCCTATCACAAAATCCTTCAGGATGACGCATGTATACCTCATCTTCAAGATCTCCATTCAGAAAAGTTGCTTTCACATCCATTTGATGTAACTCTAAATCAAAATGAGCTACTAATGCCATGATCATTCTCAATGAATCCTTCTTTGATACTAGAGAGAAGGTTTCATGATAATCAATGCCTTCCCTTTGAGTAAAACCCTTCGCTACAAGTCTGCCTTTATATCGTTCGATATTACCCGATGAGTCTCTTTTAGTTTTAAAGACCCACTTGGAACCTATGGTAGAGGATCCCTTTGGTAATTCGACGAGATCCTGGACTTTGTTTTTAGCCATAGATTCTAACTCTTCTTTCATGGCATCATACCAAAGTGTAGTTTTCTCCACTCATGGCTTGTAAACACGAGCATGGATCATCTTTTAGTACAATATCATAATCAGACTCTTGAAGATATACAATATAGTCGCTAGAAATTGCTGATTTTCGAATTCTTGAGGATTTTCTCACTCCCACTGGTTCAGACACTTCTTCAGTGGGTTCAGGTAAAGCGGGTTGATCTTCACGTGGCTCCTCAAGTGGTGGTGGCTCTTAAACTTGTTGTTGTTCAGATAATTCATGAGAATTTTTCTGAGCAACATTAAAGTTCCCAATATATAAAGGTACAACAGGTGATTCCCTTATTTCTTCCAATTCCACCCTTTGAGTCAAACCACTCCCACTCTCTTCATGCTCCTCAAGAAATTTAGCGTTTCTAGCTTCAACAATTTTAGGAGAATGAGAAGGACAATAAAACCTAAATCCCTTAGAGTTAACCACATAGCCTATAAAATAACCGCTTATTGTTCTTTCATCCAACTTCTTTAGTTATGGGTTATAAACCCTCACTTCAGTTGGACATCCCCAAACGTGTAAATGGTTTAAACTAGGTTTCCATCCTTTTCATAACTCAAAAGGTATCTTGGGGACAATCTTGGATGGAACCCTATTTAAAATATACATGGCGGTTTTTAAGGCTTTACTCCATGAGGATAAAGGTAAACTTGATCTACTAATCATGCTTCTTACCATGTCCATTAATGTCCGGTTCCTTCTTTCTGCCACGCCATTTTGTTGTGGTGTTCCTGGCATGGTATATTGAGCAATTATACCTTCACTTTCGAGGAACTCAGCAAATGGACCCTTAACTTGTCCCTTGTCTGTGTACCTACCATAATATTCTCCGCCCCTACCAGATCTTACAACTTTGATCTGAGCACCCGTTTGTTTCTCTACTTCTATTTTGTAAACTTTAAAATCATCAAGTGCTTCTGATTTATTAAACAGAAAATAGATATACATATATCTTGAATAGTCATCAATGAACGAGATAAAATATCCCTCACCATTCAAGCAAAGGGTAGGAAAAGGCCCACATATGTCTGTATGTATGATCTCAGGCAATTGAGAGCTCCTTTTGGCACCTTTAGTTGATTTGTTGGTCTTCTTACCCTTTATGCAGTCCACACAAGTCTCAAAGTCAAAAAAATCAAGAGCTTTTAGAACTCCATAATTAACCAACCTTTTGACTCTATCAATAGAGATGTGTCCCAATCTCTTGTGCCAAAAAGTTGATGAGTTCTCATTGATAATACATCGCTTAGTGCCAATTTCTTTATCATGCAAAGTTAAAACATTGCATTCGAATGTGGGGTCTAGCTCAAGTTTATATAAATTTCCATTCAAATTTCCAAAACCAATAACTTTATTATCTTTCAAAAGTTTCACAGAAGGATAATGAAAATTCAAATCATATCCACTAATCGATAGTCTTGAAAGAGAAATTAATTTTCTAGAATATTCTGGAACATAAAAAGTATTTTCTAAATCTAAGTGAAAACCATCCTTCTAAATGAGCCTATAAGTCCCTACGCCTTCCACACGTGAACGCGTCCTATTGCCAGAATAGACGTATTGTTCACTTCCTATCGGCTTCCTCTGAGTTAGAAAGCCCTGCATTATTTTGGCAATGTGAATTGTAGCACCAGAATCAATCCACCATGTATTATTAGAAACTTCAGTAAAATTAGATTCATAACATACAAAGGTAAAATTACCTTTCTTCTCAAGCCATTTCTTGTATTTCAGGAAATCCTTCTTCCAGTGCCCCTTCTTCTTACAGAAACGACAATCATCTTTGTCAAAGGTGTTTTTCTTCTTCACGGGAATACTTTTGCCCTTCTTTGCATTTCTCTTACCACGAGTCACCATGTTAACACTTTCAGGTGTCTCATGCTTCAACCTCTCTTCTTCTTGAGCACACATGGTCAAAAGTTCATTGATTGACCATTTATCCTTATGTGTGTTGTAAGAAATCTTAAACGGATCATATTCCGTAGGGAGGGAGTTGAGAATGAAATGCACAAGAAATGGTTCAGACATATCCACCTCAAGAGACTTGAGTTTAGCAGCAATGTCTCTCATCTCCATAATGTGCTCACGCACTGTACGACTTCTGTCGAAATTCATACTTGAGAGCCTCTTCATACGGGTGCTGGCCAATGTCTTGTCAGAGCTTACAAATTGTTCATCAATTGCCTTCATGTAAGCTTTGACCTTATCGCTATTAGGGATAGTACCCCTAATGCTTTGGCTTATGTGGGATTTGATGAGCATTAATCTTAAGCGATTAGATCGCTCTCACCGCTCATAATCAACCTTAGCCGCTGGCGTACTTGATTCCGTGGGGATAGGTGGTTCATCCACACGGAGTGCCAGGTCCAGATCCGAGCACCCTAAAGTGAGAAGGACTTTCTCCTTCCATTCAGCATAATTGTCACCAAAAAGCATTGGAATTCGAGCATTCTCATTAAAAATAGCGGTAGAAAAAGCGGTAAAAACTGCAAAACAAGGATAAACATACATAAGCTATGAAGTACAATCCATCAAAGGTGAATCGCGTAAAATACCGATTCTAAGTAAATTCCAGACCCTCCTGTGGGCAAAGGTTGCAACCCATGCATAGAATTTACTTTACTTTATTAGACTAGTAAACCAAAACACATAGAAATCAATCCGTACCTGTGGGCATAAGATAATTTTCAACTTAAAGGTTTACTATCTCATTCCAATTGATCTCACCAAAATGGTTACCTCCTTGTAGGGCCGGGTTACCATTTTAATGAGATAATTGGACTATATAGATGTCATTTAAAATTTTAATCACTAAACTTTATGTGATTAAATAACTTAATTTTGTTTATATCAAGTACTCAACATGCCGTGGCTACTCCTAAGTACATCACATAAAAAAAAAAAAAAATTCTCACACTAGTTTCTTTAAATAATCAACTTAATCAAATGTTGATTAACCAGTTTCAAAATATGCATACAAGAATGTAGGCATGAAACCTTTACTGCCTTCAAACATAATGGTACTCATTTTTTTTTTTTATAACAAATCTTAATGTTATAAGAATACCTTCAAATAATAGCAAGGCTTACCTATTATATTATGAGCAGAAGAATATGCAAACGCATCACGGTGAGTTTGGGACTTAGCTAAACTGTAGTAGTCATCATTATTTATGTGAAAATAATTTGTATTGTACCCAAGCAGATATGATTCTTCAATTGTAATTAACACATGAGATTTCTTCAGCCATAGTATAAATTTTACAAACCGGATCGTGTCAAGTGTTACTGAATCAGTAGGCCTTTTCACATATTATGAATTAGTATCACATATGACTTATCAAAATAAAGAGAACCAATGCAACTTGAAGCAGTTACACCCGTAGGACTGAAGAGTTTCGTCTGCATTTTAGCTTCTCAATTCGTGCTATTATTTTAATAGCCACGCGGCATTCAAATTACTTAAAACAGACAATGATAATAAGCATATAAGCCAAACACACAATCTGCCGCCGTAAACTCTAAGCATTTCAAATTTTTGCTAATATTCTTTATGGTCAAAAGGCATTCAAAATTAAATCAACAATAGCCTTACAAACCAT